TGCAATTGAAATGAGTGTTTGTATAAACATATGACAATCATAATTCTTCATTTTATATAATATGCATTCCTCTAAATTCATCAATTTAGCTATATTCAAAGCATATCCATAAAGAAATTGCATACTCTTAAACCATTCGTAAACAAAAAATTATGATTTTTTTTTATCTAAGGTATAAATGGATTTGGGCTTTACAATACATACTCAATCATTGAGCAACTCTATATTATAACATTCATTAAAAAAATAAAAAATTATATCTGTGTTGCTTTTATGTTATCTTTTAATGTCCATAACCATGTTAAAAATATTTTAAAACACATAAACTCCCAAAAAACACTTCACTTCACCCAATCACGGGTTACACCAAAATTAGAAAATTTCTATTTAGCGAATTGAAAACAAAATACAATATTCTTATACCACGATATTAGATCATATAATTCTTTACCTAATAGTACCAGCAGTATATCTTTTTTAGCTTTACTTTTCAAAAAATCATTTCTATTTTTTTAATCAATAATGATTTGATAAGAACTTTTGGCGAAAAAGAAAGAAGCTTTACCATTATTTGTTAAGGTGAAGGATTTATTGTTTTCCATATAATATAGAAAAGTTAATCTTCCATGTATACTCTATCATAAAACTATCTCATACATAGAAAAATTATTTATAGTTCACATCAAAGTTGTCTTTATTTAGAAAAATTATTTATAGTTCACATCAAAGTTGTCTTTATTTAGAAATTTTGTTTCCTTGAGACATTACATGTCAAAATCTCAAATGACTATAATTTTCAACCCATCAATTAACGGTTAAAGATAAATATCTATATTTTTACCTGGACTATAAAGACTGGATATTATTGTCGATAAGAACATGAATTCTTGCATTATACATATCCTCAAGGGCAAGTAGTAAACTATTAGTATAATTAGACAATAAAAATAAAGTGCAGCAAATAATAAAAATGGATTAAACTTATTTGTACACAAACTAAGATGCACATTGCGTGGTTTCATTAAAAACCGAATATGCACCCTGTTAAATTGCTTTCAAACTTCACATTAAAAAAAATACACAATTACTCCATCCTTCGCATCATATGCTCTACTATTTTTGAAAACATAGATAATCTTTGCAGCCTAGTAGTGATAGAAAATTATCTTAGTTTTTTATATGCAATAAGTGTCATTCACCTACCTATATTAGGTTTATACCGAGCATGCCTACATGTTTTACACTCAGTTAAATTTACATCTTCATCATAATACAACATGAAAAAAGTTGGGAACATATCAATTTTTTGATATCTCAGGCCAAAGAGTTTCATCATAAATTTCTGGTATAAAAGTTCTTTTTCAACTTATTATTTTCAAGAAAAATATTTTTTTCCCATCCAATTATGCTATCATAACTAGCTTCACTTATACCATAATATGAATTTATGAAAAATACTCAGGAAATGATCGATAATTTATTATAATTTATGTACCCATCTCATACTGATTTATTAGAATCTTTTAAAAGAAAAAAATTACATTTACATTTGATGTAACCATATTATTCGATAGTTTCACCCATATTTACCTAATGTTTTGTCCATGTTTTATATGTAAAATGCCTTGATATTCTTTGTTTTATTTTTCGAAGGCACTTTTGGATGAAAAATGCAAAAAGGAGTAAATTGGAGATAATTGGCAGATTTGACGTTCAATCGATGTTTTGTGCAGAGCGTAAGTTCTAGATATTGAAATGAAGTGATTCCAGTAGCACTAAAAAGCTAACATCCATACCTTTCTGGAAATGTAATGCAAGAAAAATAAAACGAGGAAGATCATGGAAATCACATCCTTCAAAGTCAAATCTCGCATTCTGCCACTGTTGACCTTTGTCTATTGAAAATTAAATATCTGGAGCTATAGAAGTCCAATTTATGCAAACTCAATTGTTTTGGATTTCTGACTCAAATGTCTATAAACGCTCCAAATTTCATCCAAGAAAGATGTTAGATGAGGGATATATGATTTTTCAAAGATGACAACTGAATTCTGCCAACAATCAAGTTTCGTGAAGAAATGAGTCCAAATTACATTTTGAAGCTTCTAAACCATCATCCAAGTTTTTATATCAGCAATTTAGCTCCTCTAAGTCAGAGTTTGAAGATTTCATGCAAGGCTATTTCTTTTTTTTTAGGGAAAATAGTTATTGAAGTACTTAAATGTCAATTGTCAACTTAAGGGAGGACTACTTTGTAAATTAGGAGCTAGAGTTTCTTAGCATATAAAAAGAAAGAGAGAGAGGAGAGAAGGGGGGCAGCAGCCAGAAGTGAAGAAACACAAATTCTCTCCTCTACAAACCCAAAAAATCATGCTCTCTTCATTCTTTAAGAGTAGTTGTTCAATGGTTATGCAAGGCTAAGCTCTTTTCTTGGTTGTAAGGACACAACAAACCTTCGGATTTCAAGAACAGTAAGATTTATTCTTTCTTTTATTTTCAGTTTATATTATGAATAAGTATGGTTGTTTTCCTATGCATATTTTCTATTATTGTTGTTGATAATTGCTAGAGCGGAACTTTAAGTTATTATTGTGAACAATTTATTGCTAAGTTTGGTATCAAAACTGGAGTTGTGATGTATGAACTTGTGAAGCAACTAAGCTTGATAATTGTGGCGGAACTACATTATTAAACTTAGGGAGAACACTCAAATATCTAGTTCTTAGGGCTGTCATTGAACTAAATCATTAATGCGGACATGGTGATTGTTTGTTGGTTAGGGTTAGTTATACGACGGATCCGTTAATTAACCAACATTAAGAAAAGATAAAAATTTAGAATTTAAATTGTAGTTTTGTTTCAAGGATTAGTTCTAATTTTCATTGGTGGATGTGTGCTTGCAACCAAGGCTTGTTTTCTTGATAAATTTCGATTTCAATTGATTTTGTTTGCTAGCTTAATTTCTTCCATAGTTTAGATCATCACAAATCAAAACCCCCCAATTGCATAACGTATAGCATAAAAATCTGAACTAAATCTCCCTTGTGGGATCGACCCCTTGCTTGCTCTATACTATCTTGTGTGTTGTGTTTTAAGCTAGGGTAATTAATTTTTGCGACCGCGACATCGCAACAACATTTGGTTCTTCATGTACACATGAACCTTTACCTGAATAACAATAATTTATTCGCATTACATCCATCATCATATTCCTATAATAACTACTATTATCATTGACTTCATGTATATTTCTAGAACTAAACATTGAGCCGACAATCCTTTCTAAAATGGTATCTGTATGCAAACCGACACAAGTATTTTTCAACGAACTCTTTTTTTAGGAGATGCATAATCACAATATTTGATTTTTTGTTTTTGCACTTCATATGTAAACATCTAATTTTACATCCACTGATATTCTTTGGATTTGAAAGCGTAAAATTAATAAAGCCATTAACCCCTCTATAATAATTTTCACTACACACCCCTTAAAGTGAATCTAAATACATTCATAAATGATCATTCATTACTTAAAAAACCTATATAGATTAATGATGATGACATTTATTAATAATGTAACAATAAATTTAAACTATGAATTTGGTAATTAAAAATAAATTCACAATCTAATAATTTACTATTGTTTTTTGTACAAAAAATATAATGATGCGTAAAAATATCAACTAAATAAATCCAATTAATTGCAAGTAATCAATAACCCAAGTAGTTATATATTATTTTTTCAATTCAAACTTATTCAATCTAAATTAATATAATTTAATTATTATCAATTTAATAAAAATCAATTTCTCCAAAATTTTCAACTTTACAATAAAATTGACAAAATATAATTGTTACTAATTAAATAACTCATAATTTGTTTTAGTATAACACATCTAAGTTATAAAATTATGATTAATTATATCAAATTACAAAAAATTCAAATTTGCCTAAATCACAAACAAACCTTATAATAGAAATCAAATTTAATTCTCTATGAAAAAGTTGTAAAACACTAAAATACGCGAGCAAACTACACTACAAATACTAAAAAATAATAATACATTAACTTTAAATATCAATAAGTATGTTTTCTTACTTAGTATCGAGAATATTTAGAGAAAATTGTATTAAAACAATAATATTGACACTATAAAATGTTGGGTGGTTGAATTTATAATGATGAGATTTAGATTTGTGTCAAAGTAGAAGAGACATGTGGTTGTTTTGATTTGCAAAAAAGAATAAGATGGGGAGAATGAGAATGTTACTGATTATAACACTATTAGATCTGCCAATAAAATATAATGATGGAATATACTCTTGCTTATTGATGACATGTTATTTTAAAGATGGATTCACCTATAGAAAATTTTTTTATTTTTTTAATTATTTAGTCTATTTATCTACAAAAATAATTATATCGTGATTATTATCAAGAATTTTCATCGCCATAATCATTAGAAGTACCAAAAAAAATATTATGTTAATAATTTCAATGATACTATATAATTTTTTGGTGGTGATAGTTATAGTTTACCAAGCTTCACACATATGCTGAAGCTCGGGAAAATTAAAGAGCTCTGGAAATTTTTTACAGTTTATAAATTTTATCTACTGCTTATGTGACTTAGGGGTAGAAGTTAATTGTAATTTTTTAGTTAACAAATAATTAAGATTTATATAAAAATTAGGCAAAAATGTTTTTTTAAGAAAATCTAAAAGTTCTCTTTTTTTTTTCACTATTTCTTTTTATCGTGATCTTTTTACTTTTCTTCTAGATTATGTAGACTTATGTTCATAAAAATAGATTATCAACAAGGTATGCACTAAGCTATAAAAGACTTTTATTGGACTTAGTCAATGATGTTCTTTTTTGGATTCGCCTACATTATGGGTGTTGAAACACCGAAGATGCTAAAGAGACAATAATGGATAATCTGCTAATATTTCTGCCAAAAAAAAACCCGAAATCGAAGCAGTAAAACTATATATTGCTGTAATCTCCATCATTAAATGATAAAGGTTAAGAATGCGCTATGTGTTGCCTTTAGGAGACCTGATTCGACTATCTTAGTTAACACTGAAGGCAGGAGGCTCCCTTGATTAGACGTTCAACTTTAAACGCTTGGCCCACAATGCCTTAAGGGCAACATCCACAGCATCTTGAAACCCTAGATCAGTCGCATTTGGATGTGCATAAGTGAGTCTTGGCATCAACTTTATTACTGTACTTCTCATTCTCTCCACCTTCTCTCTCTCAATCTTGAAAAGCTCTTCCTCAATGCTAACTACCCTTTTGCTTCCATTTCCCGTCTTCAAAGCATTTTCATCTATGTAAACTGAATACTCTCTCGCATCCCCAGCTGGAAAAAACCACTCATACTGAGTATACACAGTGTGAGGTGAGAAAAACACAGGTATGCAACCTGCCAACACTGAGTCAAAAGTTGACCTCCGAGTGAACGAGTCACCGGGAGCTTGCAAGCAAAACTGGGACTGAGACATCACCTTAAGTACCTCAATTGGGTTATGGCATTTACTGGGTCCTTTCCCACATTTTAGAAGCTTGCATCGACCTGACTCGCTGCATTGCCTTATTAACTCGTCCCTTACAGCAGCTTTCTCAACTCCTCTACGTGGCCCCCCTATAAAGGAGAAGAGGTGGGGCCTACTTGATTGTCTCATCTGGTTCTGCCACGTCATCATCTCGTGGGACGTGTACGGGTGGAAATAGGAAGGGTAAGGGATGCCGTGTTGGTTGTGGACTTGATCCCAAGGGTTTCGCTCTACCGTCAGCACCGACATGTTTTGCACGTCTGGCAGATTTAGGAGAGAGTTTCCAAAGTCGTTATTTCTTCTCAAGAAATCCCATGCGGTCCTTCCTAGGACTAAGAAATGGTCCTTACCGTGATGCCTCTCCCACCATGGTTTTGATCGGAGATAATCTGCTAATCGGACGGCTAGTTCATCGCGTGCCGTGAGATTTGCATCGTGGAACTTGCTTGAGGCATCGAGTCCACCATAGAATGGCACGTAGAATAGCTTGGCATTTATAGGATCCAAAACACGACATGGATGGTTCTCCATACGAGCGTGAAAAATCATCTCCGCAATGAACTGGTGGGTGGCAAACCATGTGGTGGCGACGGCGGTCTCTACCATGTAGGAGAGTGGTTGGCCTAATCCGCAATTTGCCACATGAGGACACATGTCAGTGTAAGCATTTAGATGGCTGCAATCTTTAAGTAAACCCTTGTTGAACTCAGCGGGCATGTCATATATATACACTGACATTCCTCCTTCACACTTGGATATCGCAGATGATTTCGATGTTTTCTTGGCCTTTTCATCTACGTTTAGTTTCTCGATGTTGTTTTCGCTCGTGGAGGAAGGCAAGAGAAAACATCTTAGAATAACTAACCAAACAGAAAGCAAGAAACAGAGTAGTAGAGCGTGTCTCAACTGTGGTTTAAGGAATGAGTAATGTATTTCGTTGGTTTTAGAGCTCTTCCCTTTCTCCGTCGACCATGGAGATGCAGATGATATAGATTTTTTCTTCACAACCATTACTGTAGATGTCTCCGACCATACAAAGAGAAAGGGAAGGAGAAGGATTGGAAGGGTGGGGAGTGGAAAGCCTTTCTGTTTCAAACAGGACAGAAAAAGAGGATGAAACCTCTAAAAATGGTGGCGTGAGTGACAGAACATGTCAAAGACTGGTGAGCTGTATGGAGTCTGGTGAGGACAAATTTTCCATTAATGAAAGAAGAAAAAAGTTGCCCCCCCGAAAAGAAAAGGAAAGAAAGATGGAAAACTTATTAACTCGGGGACAAGTTTTCCATATTCATGTGCAATCTCCATTGACGTGCCCTAATCTCATCAAATCTATGTCCAAAAACAAGGATTTACTATTAATTACTCGGCGTTTATCAACCATAACTTGGATTAGAAAATCGAGTAGCATGGTTGAATTCTCCCGGTAATCAATGCTGTAATCAATACGTGCATATCATCACTCAAATTAATTATGCGATGGTATACACGTTACTAGGACTATATACAGCTAATTTCTAATAGCGTAGCATTATTATACTATATCATCATTGACCCTTCTTATGGATCAATATTTTTAATATAAAAAGTGTTTAGATATTGCTATAATTTTTTTAATAAAAAATTAAATTGCATAAGAATAAATTTGATATAATAGGATAAACTTGGTAAGTGAAAAAACAACCTATCGATTAACCTGTCAAATATACGATTTGCGTCATAATACCAGAATAATATGATAGAAAAAATTAAAATAAATTATAAAATTTAATTTCACATCAACCTAGTATTGAAAAATAAAATTAAAAAAAGATTAATTAAAAAAATATAAAAATGACTCTACTCACCTCAGGTTAGCCCATCAAACTCATAACCAGGAGTCATGAGATGAGGATAACCTCATGAAAATAAACTAAAATAAATAATGAAGCCTAATTCTTAATCAAGCTGATGTTAAAAGATAAAATTTGTATATGTCAAAATGATTAGTTTTTATTAGTAAAAGATTATTTGTTTAGATTGTTAGCTTATCCAAAATAGATAAAGAATTAGTCAAGTTTATATCTTATATGATATAATGTGATTATTTATATAATTATATAGTTTATTTGGATAAATTATATAGGAAGTTCAATTAAGTTTTATCACAAAAAAATAAATACAAGTTATTAAAAGATAATTGTCAGATAAGTGCTTTTATGAAATACGTTAGTAGTTTGTTGACAACATAACAAATTAAAAAAATTGAAGATAATGTTTATTAAAGTTTTTTTTTATCATTATCTGTATATAAAAAAGAACAATCAGACACATTTTGACGCAAAGTAACACTTGCAATGAAGCAAAAGTGTTTAACTAACTAAGAAATTACTTAGAGTTTCATAACATATACTCTTGACATATGAATGGAGTGTGAGGAAAATTCTCAAGAATAATTATTTCTTGAAGAGTTAAAAAGCTTGCAGATTTTTAAAGGTGAGTTCTTATGTTACTAATCAATGTTTGCAAAAGTTAGTGGATTGCTTCTTAATATAAAACAAATAACAATGAGATTATCAAAAAAAAATTAAAAAAAAGTTAATTAGGTGAAGAAAAAAAAAACTCGAATCAACTAAGTTAATTTTTCAAATTCGTGATTTAAGTTATGAGACTAGAATGTTCTCATGAAAAATAAAAAAAATTATAAAACTCAATCCTCTATAATCTAAATACTGAAGTAAAAAATTAAATTAAAAAAAGATAGATTGAAAAAAAAAGACACTATTTGAATGAATAGTATTAACTCGCGGGTTGGACAGTAAAACTATGTTAAACTTATAAAAAAATAAATAAAAAATTATAAAATTCAATTCTTAATAAACATAACATTAAAAAGTAAAATTAAAAAAAATATAAATTAAAAAAAAAACTATTTTAATAAATAATATTTTACAAGAAGAGGTGCACTGAAATTCACTTCTCTTTTAGTTTTTTTATTTATTAATTTTCAATGACGTGTTGAAAGTAATGGCAGCATCGAAACCGCCGCGAGTCATTCCCGTGTGAATTAAAAAGGAATAGAACTACCTCGGTGTCGGCTCTGCTTGTTGTCGGAGGATGAAGGGATCTTCGCCTCTCTCTCCCCTCTGATTATGGCTCGCCCGCCCAGTCTAGTACCAATACAGGGGGCGGGCCCTGAAAACAGTCAAAATTCTTCTGATATTCATGTTTCTGTCGTTAGTAACTTTCAATCATTGACCAAACAAACATGTACCTTTCAAAATTGAAGATCATTCTTCAATATTGAAATGACCAGCGAAGTTGACTTCCATTCTAGAGCTCTGCTGGCCCTCTGATGATGATATCTTGGGCTTCCTGCAAGTTATTTTCCCAAGTCCAATTCCAGCACCCTATTTGCTGTCCCAGTGCAGCGGACCCTCCCATCTTCATATGATTGCTTCCAATTAAAATATGAACCGACGCGCTCTGAAATTTCTCTACTTCAAATAATTAGCTTCATAATTTTCTTTTTAAAATATTTCAAAGTGTTTTTTTATATAAAAAGATTCCAAGTAAATATTAAAAAGTTTATACAAGTATCTAATTAAATAAATCAATAACTTTCTTTATGAAAAAATAAAAAAAATCATTAACAATAACTATAAAAAAATGTTGAAATTTTAAAAAATGAACTTAGATCAAGATATTTAATCCTATAAAATAAAATATTTGCTCATTTATGTTTGTTGAATTTGATTATTAAAATCAATAAAATATAATAGAAATAGAAACATACATAGAACTACTTAAGTAAAATAAAATGAAAAAATATTACGCCAAGCCGAACATGTTATAAATATTATTTAAAAAAATATTTTTATTTTTAAAAATAAAATTCATCTATAAAAAAAATTATAGATGAATAAGAATAATATCTTAGAAAATTAAAGACAAATAATTTTTTTGAAAAAGATTTTTTCTTCGTAAACATTGTAAAAGATTGCCCAATAAAAGAGGGCATCTATTATTATTTATTTTTAATCCTATAAAAAATATAGAAAAAAATCTGAAAAAGTCAAAAGGATGCACACAAAAAAAGCCTAAAAGATTTTACAAGTTGGTGGTGAAAAATCAAAATAACAAATGGAAAAGTTGGAGGACTAGAATGTACAAGATTGACAAATTAACAACCTATTCTAATTGACAAAAGACTCTATTGGTGATAATATTTTATTTAGGGTATATAAATACTAATTTGAATTAGTAAGAACTCAATATGGATTTTAAAAAACTTAATTAATTTTATTAAGAACTTAATTGTAAGAAAAATAAGTTTTTTTTAGTCAATTTGCATGTTAATAGAAAGAAATTGAAGTTTAGAGACTAAAATTAAAATTCAAAAAGTTTAATTGGTCAAATTATAAAAAAAAATTAAATTTTGATTGCTAGTTAGAGGTGTGATTGAAGAAATTCAAAACTAATAACCAAATCGTAAAAGATGCGAGACTTCAAACGCTGAAATTGATAAAATCGGGACCAAGTTAAAGAAAATTAAGAGTTCGATCATCAATTAAAGATTAAATTGTACAAATCAAAATCCAAAAATCAAAATAAAGAAGACACTAAAATTGGGGGCTTCAAATCAAAATTTCTAAGGGAAAAATTACAAGGATTAAAAAGATTTTAAGTCAATTAAGGGTGCATATGCTAGAATTAAAAAAACACAAATTAAACTAAAATCTATCAAATTCCAAATTAAAAACCCTAATTTCTAGAGTTTAATTTGAATGACGTGTCACTCAAGTTTAATTAAAGGATTAGGTGACACATTGTTTGGCTATTATATATCCCTTTCCTTGATAGTTTTGGATGATTGGGTTGGCACCTTTCAAGAGCTTATTATGGAGTTCTAGACCTCTAAATGACACAAGAGTTCTTATAAATGGAAGAAGAACATCCTTTCTACAACTCAAATTCCATAAAATTGAAGGTTTATATCCCAATTATTCTATTTTTAGATTCTTGGTCGATCGAGTTGACACCTTCAAGCAAATAAATGTAAAGTTACAAACCTTCAAACTGAGCAGGTATGGATCAAAACAAAAGATATATATCTCTTCTACCAAGTTCAAATGGCATTTAATGATATTTACATCTAAGTTGTTTCGATGAAGCCTTGAAAATGATCAACTCTGTCAGCCTTAACTAAGATATTCATTTACGCAAAACCATCCAAGTTCTTCATATATTCACACTTAAAAACTCCCAGATGATTCTTATCAAGGACCATAAATCTTTTATTCAAGATCAAAAGACAAGAAATGCATGTTTTTGTGTCTAAGAAATAAAACCACTTAGACAAAACCATCATCTCCAAAAATCATTAAAGGACAAATGTTTTAGTTATTAATATTTATCAATAGCTCTCTTATTTTGATCAAATAGCAGAGTTTTGATCACTCTATATGGGAATTCATCAAAAACCCTAAAAATACCCAATAAATATTGCATTTCACCAATGTTTGACTTTGGAGGAACAAAACCTTTTAAGGATTATACCATTTTTATATTGATTCTTAAAAAAAAAAACATATATCATATAAAAAAAATTCAAAATATTTTTTATTATGTGAAAATAACAAAGTATCAATATATGAGAGATCAAACTTGTTCAACAATCATATTGTTTTGTTAGGTGTAAAAAAACACATTTTTTTGTGTAAATAATCCTACATGTATTTTTTTTGTTGAAAAATGTTGAAATCCGAAGTGAAAACATCCATATGCAAAATCAAACATATTCATTCATAGAAATTAAATTATTTTGCCCTTCATAACCCATCTCAAAATCTCGCTTTAGAGTATTGATTTCAATCGTATCACACTGAAAGTAAATTTTAGTGACTTAATTCCTTTAAGGTTGCTAAACAATGGTGTAGACTTCAAAACTTTGATTATTTTGAGATAAATATAAAAATCAATAATAACAAATCACAAATTATATGTAGTAAACAGAAAATACATTTCAAATCTAGTAACTATTTTTGAGAGTGACTAGATTAGCAAAATAACCTTGACAATGAACTAGGATTTGTTTATTCATACACGTGTTTGTGGTTTTCATGGCTCATGCATCACATGCTGGTGAATGTTCAACACATGCCATCTATTTTTGGGCCCCTTCAATTATTTGGTCTATGATTATATAAGAACCCTTCAATTAAGTACAAAATTGAATCCCATCTTAGTCTATGTCTTTTTTATTCAATTTAATAACTCATAATCTAATAAATCTTCAATTTAAACTCAAACTTAATCCAATCCAAGCTCATTGATGGGTTAGCCATAGAACAAGGATAGGGTAAAGAAACATGATAGTTGACAGCTCTTATTAACGTATTTTGATCATGCTCATTACCCAGGTTACAACATTTTTCTTTTAACTCAGTGATCATAGAGTGCTTTGCTTGATCTTTTCCTATTGATTTTGTTAAAAGTTAATTCATATTTTAATTAGAGATCAAAGTTGCTTTTGAACATATCAAATCAACATAATCATGTCATGTCAACTTTTAGGCTATAAATTTTAAAAGTCGATCAATACAAACAATTATATCATGAGATTAATACAACAATGTTACCGACACCACAAAATTATAGCCACAGTTGATGTATAAATAAAAAATATATATATTTAAATGATAAGGGAAGTGGTTGGAAATCCAAATGACTATTCAAAAGATTTAGTGGAGGTGGTTGGCAACAAAGAACAATGATTGGATTCACTTCAACACATATAAAACAAGTTTACAGTGGGATGAGAGATCCTGTATATTTTGAAAACATATCATTTCAACAATATTCAACTTTCAAGGAACAATTAACATCTTTTTAAGGATTATACTTTTATTTCTGGGTTGGTTCTTCAAGAACACATATGTATGTAAGAAAACTTATTTCTATTGTTTTTATTATGGGAAAAGAATAAAGTATCTATGATATCCAAATGATAAGACTCGTCCAAGATCATATTACTAGGAGGTTGATTATTAGGTTAAAAAAATTTATTTATATGTAAATAATCCTACGTACCATGTATTTTTTTAGTGAAAAATGTTGAAATCCAAAGTGAAATTAAACACATCCATATGCAAAATAAAAAACATTCATACACAAAGATTAAATTTAAATTATTTTGTCTCTCATAAACCATGCATCCTCTAAATCTCATAGCAGATTATTGATTCCAATTTTGTCACAGTAAAAAATAGATATTAGCAAGTTAATTCCTCCGGGGTTGCTAAACAACGGTATAGACTCCAAAACTTTGATTATTTTGAGATAACCTCGGAAATGAACTGGGAAGCGGTGGCGCATGATAGACACGCGCTGGAACGTGACTAGGATTTGTGGATTCATGCGCGCGCTTGTGGATTCCTTGGCGCGTGCATCACACTCGCCGTCACTGGATCTGTAAGAAAACACAAAGAATGAATTTTTTTTCGTGTCTATGATTGGGATTTGGGCTGATTTTTGGTGGTTGATGTTGTTGTTGGTTAGGGTTAAAAAGGCAGATCAGTTTCGATGTGTAAGTGTTTCGATCGGTGGTTGTTCTGGATTGTTGCAAAAGTTGGTGTCAGTGGCGTATTTGTTTGTGCAAAGAGGGTAGCGGAGCGACGAAGGGAGTTGGTGCTGCTGGATTTGACGATGTGGAAAGGGTTGCTGCAACTGTATGAATGAGGAGACAAGGGCTGTTCCATGGTGGACAGAGAGTTTGGTACGGGGAAGGAGGTTGGAGTCTGCCGTCAGGGACAATAAAAAGCAAAAGAACGTGTTGGCAATTAGTGTTTTTTTAGTAGAGAAAGGTTTTTTTCCTTTTCTTTTTTACTTTCTCCTATTTCTGTCGTGATTTTTCCCTGTTTTTTTCTCCCTAGTTGCATATATGGTGTATAATTTTGAAATCCGGTTGGCCTGGTAAATTAATCTAAAACTTGGCTGATTAAAAGCTGCAATCAGGTTGGGTTAAAGAAAAAATCTATTCTAATATAATTGACTTGATGGATTAACTAGATGATTCAGTTGACTCGTCAAGATCTAGTTACAAGTTTATTAACTTTTATTTTTTTTATTTTTTATTAAAATGATATTTTTTGATTTTTTTTAAAAAAACTAACCTAATGAATCCAGTGATTCAGTCAAAATCTAGTAACCCAATCAAAAATTAAAATCTAAATCACGAACGAGCTGGATTTCAAAACTATGATATGGTCTGTTATCGTTTCATCTTTTCTTATCATTTATCTAGTCATTTTTATCTCTTTTATCTTATAGTTGATACTAAACTTTCATGTTTATTTTTGTCCTTCTTTTCTTCTTTAAATATCATGTCACTCTCTAATTTTTTTTTTATTTGAAAATATATTAGAAATAAAGGTCACAGACGAGATATAAAATATTACTTATTTTATTTTATATGATCAACCTCTTGAACAATACAATATATATATATTAAAAAGAAAACATAAAAAACCCACACCTAGAACTAATTAACAGATATAAACATGGATAATATATGGTTTAGCATTAACTCTCACCTGATAAAGACACCCTTTCATTAATAAAGCAATATCATATGTCGCTTAATACTAAAATATCTTGACAATTCCCAGACCATGCACCCAAATTCCCTGCTATCAATTATCCCCACTCATATTCTCATAGCATCAAGGTATGATTTTTCATGAAGCTCACGAGCAAAGAGGCCGTTGAGATACTCTTTAGTTGTTATACTCTTAAACATTGCTGGAGTCTGTTCAGTGACTAAACCGGATGCTGGTCCAATTACGCCATCATAGTTTGGAGACAAAAATGTTGCAATTGAGAGCCTTTCTTTCTCAGAATTCACTGTTGCCCGATGCTCAATGCTACGGTATGTTCCATTCGTTATGATCTGCAGAAATGATGTGCAAAAGATAATCGCAAGAACATTATGATCAATATCCAAGTTCCAAGCTAACATCGTTTGCAATTATGCATGCATTTTACCTCCAGAATATCTCCAACGTTTAAAATGAAGGCATTTCGGAGGGGTTTGACAGGAACCCATTTCCCATCCTTCTTTACCTGGAGACCTTCCACTTCGTTGACTTGCAGGAGTATAGTGAGACCTACAGCATCAGAATGAGGAGTAAGGCCAATAACCTTATCAGGTTGAGGACATGGAGGGTAATAATTCATCCTCATCGACTGAAGCCCGTTTCCAAAGAGCTCTTCTACTTCCTCTGCCTCTATCTTTAGTGCTTTAGCCATCTTTCCGAGGATTGTAATGCCTAGGTTTTTCAATTCCAATGAAAATGCCTCCACGGTGTCTCTGCAAGAAGAAATTAAGAGCTAGTAGCTAGGTTACTAATTAAGAAACGAAAGTACCTTAAAAAACTCACAGTATACAAAGACAGAGAGAAAGAGGGAAGACCTGAAAGGAAGAGGAAGCTTTGGAAACAAGTGGGGTTTCCTTACATGAACTGGCTGGGTGATCATGAAGAAAAGGTCACCCCAGTCAAGCTTTTGCTCCTCGGACAAGACAAATGCTTGTCCGAAGCCCTCTACTTCTCCTGGAAACTGCCAAAAGAGTTTCTTCTCTTCCATTGGCAGGTTAAAGAAGTCCTGGACATCAGTCTTTACTTTCTCCAACAACGAAGCGCTCACTTCATGGTTTACCAACTACGAGGAAGAAAAATCGATCACTGTATATGTTTATTCTTTTTTGTTGGAAATGGTGCTGTGTCGAGTAGGATTTGTATGGTAGTAGTTAATGCACGTGACAGGAATTTTGCCTCTCTCGGTTTATTTTATTACGAGAGAAAAGATGATTTTGTCGCGACAACTATGCCGACGATAGCGATAGGGATTAAGAAAAAAATTAAAAAATTAATTAAATTGAAAAAAATTAAAAAATTAAACAGTAAAAACATTAATTAAATCAATTAGAATTTTTAAAAAATTAACCGATTCAATTTGATTTTAATTTTTTAAATTTAAAATTAAAAAAAACTAAACTAAACTGAACTCAAATAAAAAAATAAATTAAATCAAAAAAATTAAATTAAATTAAAAAATTAGTTTTTATTCTAAAATAACTGAACTAAAATAATAAGTTTGAATCGATTTTAATTTTGATTTAATTTTAATTAAAAAAAACAAATTTAATTATTTTTTAATAAAAACCAAAGATAATCACAGCTATATCTACCAAGTATATTCATTAAACAAGTGAAAGCAATTTATCTTAAATAATCTCCATCAAATGTTTGAACTCTGTGCCTCTTTATTATAATTATAATTATGAGACGGTCGAATCTGGTCATAGATTATAATTGAATTAAATTAACTCATCATTTGATTTTAAAAAAATAATTTAAAATAAAATTATTTTAATAAAAAAATCAAAATTTTGCGTTGAAATGTCTTAGACGAAGCTTCATATCAAAAAGTCATCTAATTAGATTAGAGTTTAAATCAATAAATTATTGGGCATACCGGTGAAGCCGAACTAGGTAGTATTGTAATTATGCTTTTTATTATATATAAAAAATACTAATAAATGTCAAGTCACAATAATAACCTTTATTTAATGCAGTATTATACATCATCTTAATTATTATTAATTACATGATTAGGCATATATTAATAATCAAATGATATGTGTGTGTATAAATATAAACACATCCGCGCACTTGATGATATTATAATGATGACGATTATGATGATATTATATATGTTTTTTCATTGATCAACGCAACAAGAAAACTTCCCACAGTGTACATCTTACATTTCTTACTCATGACTGGATAATTGGTGATGATGTGATGCAAGCCGGATTAATATTCTAATTAAAAAAATATAATGTGTTTTTTAATTAAAAATATAATTATGAACTCAAAATATAATCTATAATAGATAATATTTTTTTAAAATAGTGATATGGTAATATATTAATATATTGAATAACATTTTTTTTAATATTGAGATACTTATATATTAAAATGTATAATTTATTAAATCTATAACCCATAATTATGAGATTGTGATATCTCAATAGAAAAAAATTAAAATAAATTATAAAGATTAATTCAATCAATTTAATATTAAAAGATAAAATAAAAATAATAAAAAAATAATAAAAAAAAACCTAAATAAACTTGAACTAATCAATTAAACTTGCAACCTGGATCATAAAACTGGGATAAATTTATAAAAAAAAAAATACAAGACTCTATTTTTAATATATACAATATTGAAGGTTAAAAAAAAATTAAATTCATGAAATTGAGATAACTCGATAAGAAATAACTTTTTTAAAAAAAACTATGAAACCTTAAATCCTAAATAACTTAATATTGAAAGATAAAAAAAAAAATTAAGTTGTTGGAGTTTAATATTAAAAAAAAATATTCAAATAAAAAATTATAAAAAAATAAATAAGATAACTTGGGTCAACCTGTCAAATCTTTAATCCAAATTATGAAATTATGATAACAATATATAAGCTAAATTAAAAAAAATATATAAAACCCAATTAAAAAAATATTCTATTTAAAAAAAACCTAAATAATAAACAAAATCAACTTATAGATCTAATGTTAACCAGGGTTAAACTTATAACCTAGATTATGAAATCATGATAGATTTAAAAAAAAAAATTAAAAAATTAAATATTAAATAATAAAATTTAAAAAAATATATTGTTAAAGAATAAAATTAAAAAGAAAATCTACTAAATAATGTTATTTTGTATTGCGAGTATATCTACTAATTTAACACATCCTTTAGTATTTTGTTAATTCACGATGCAGTTTAGGATATAGATGACCAGGAGAGGCCGTTAGCGTACTACTCTCTTGTAACAAAATTAAACTTCACTCTCTTGCTAATGAACTTGTTCTTCAATTAACACTCACAGCTTTCTAATTTTTCAGAAGGTTTTAGGATCGAATTTAACACAAAAACAACGATAGGCCAACTCAATATCAGTACTGTGTTTTTCTTTGACTGCTCTTCACTATAGTTCGATTATTAATTAGTGTGTTGATCCCAATTAATTAATATTACAGTGGACTTCGTATTTATAATTGTTTGCTTAATTTTATCAACGAAGACAGCAACCCTGTAGAGCCCGACTAAGACTGATTATCAAACAGTTCATAACATTTATGGAGACGAAGCTGCACATGAAATGTGCTGTTAAAGTTACTTTGAGAAAACATTGAGGATTCGGTTGTTTCTCTTTGTCTGCTTTATGAGGGGGACTCGATCCAAATCCAGGATCACAAGTCAATCGCTGACAAAACCTTGGATTTTTTTGAGAAAAAAGGAAAAATAAGTAAAAAACAAATCCATGTTATGTTAGCAAAAGAAATTAGATTTTTTCAGGGCTAAACCTTGAATTAAGGGGTTGATGTCTGTGAGCAGGGGTGGATAATGATAAAAATGAGTTTGTTGTTATTATATGTAATTTTCTCGCCTTTTCAGTAATATTTTTTCTTTCTTTTTCTTAAGCTTAATGCACCTTGGAGATGGTTATGGTTGAACCACAAATGGAGCTCGAAGAAATCGCTTGCCATGGAATAAACGAAAAAAGAAAAAGGTGACGAGGAAGAAACAAAACAAACATGAGTGAGTGAGTGTGGTGGGTACCTGAAAGAAACCCCAGTCTCTGCAAGCAAGATGGAGCTTGGCCAGTTCAGAGTCCATTGATTCTTGATCTAGTAACCTCCGCATATCAACAACCGGGATCTCATTAACCGAAGCACAGCTGGGAATGATCGTGGGCTGGTCTTGATCAGGACGGATATATCTTGGTGGGATGGCTGCCGGGTTTACCTTGGCCAATTCCTGGACGCATGGCACAATAAGAGAGCTTCCAAGCTGAACAACGTTTGATTCCATGTTTCTTTATTTGTTTTAGCGGTACTGGTGTTTGCAGGTTTCCAGCTTTCTTTCTCTATATATAGGAGGAGAAAAGACCACTCTCCTATGCAGTAATATAGGAGAGAAGCATCCGGCAAATTCCCTTCAGACTTCAAAAAAAAAAAAAAAGGCGTTCTAGAAACAGAGGTTGAAAGGCGTTATCTGATCGACATGTCAAAATTATGTGGCGAGATCTTCCAAAATCTCCAACCCTTTCACACTAATATATTTTAGAAGTCATATAATAAATTTAATAAAATTTATCTTCTTATATATATACATATATGATCATACTGTCCAAATATGTTTAATATGAATCCATTTGAACAGCAAAGCAAGAGGATTTTGTCAAGGGGCCAAATGAATGAAAGGAGTTTTTAAGGAAAATAAATATAAGGTGAGCATTTTGATGATGAATATGACTGAGAATCTACCATCATTTATGAATGTGGGGAAGAGTAGATACTTTGTTTGTAATTACTTGAGAGCTTCTTCCGCTTTGGGGACCAATAATTTCCTTGTTTTAGCAAGCTCTTTAATTCTTATCCATTCAGACATGGTGGTAGTTGCAAGGCCGAGTCTACAATCTCTAGAGATTTGTTCAGATGATGATGATGATGTGCTGCATAATTACTATTAAGAAAACGTGTAAAATGCTAAAAACTTCGAAGACGTGAGATATAAAATAATGAATTACTGGAACTTCACAATCAACCCGACCTGTCAGACAAGAACAATCCCATTTCTAGAAAAGTCTTTGAAATCTGTTAATAAATGGATTTAATTGCCAGGTAAAAAAAACAAACGAAAGCTAAATCCTCTCTGATTCCACTGTGTGAGAGCATGACCATTTCATCAACATATTAATATTCCAGCCGTCGCATATTATCGTTCAGAAAATCAGTTGTTTTTTTGCATCTTCAAACAATTTTACTGCCGAATATCAAACCAGGAAGAAGTTGGAAGACAAAGGCATGGACTTCAGAGGATACCTCATTCCTTCTGCAATATTTAGCGTGAAACGTAAACTACAAGATGCATGCCTGCTCTCAAGCTGAAAACACCATTCAAGAAGCAGGGAAATTCCACAATGCTTTTGGACGCATTGATCCTAGCTCATAAAGTGCCTTTTTTTTATGCCACTTGTGGAGTTTTCGTAAACAGTTCCATAACTATGTGTTTTTGAACAACCAGACAATTTTGAGAACAGAAGTTTGACATGATCTGAAACAGAGTTTATCTTTATTGTTTGCCAACAGGATGTTAACGATTTATCCAGATGAAAATTCCGAATCACGACCAGATGTCCTCCGGGATCCGGCCACGGCCGGATGTTTCACATCTGTTTCCTTTGACTCCTAAGACAAGGGCAGTATCCTCCTCTTCCGAAGTGGATGAGATGCGTGCCTACGTATGCACACAGCGATGCATATGCTTGTGTGAATGTGTATGAATATCCAACCATTCTAGAAAGAGAGAAAGAAAGGTCAAGCAATATGGAGCTTGACTTAAGAAATTTGTGAAATGTCAAAAAAAAATAAAAATCAAACTCTCAACTACCTCCATAGCTAGGAAGATGCTGGTGGATTTTCTCCTTTTGACTAATGATTCTCCAAGGTCATTGTCATTTTAAGGATAAGCCAGCTTCCTTTGTCTCCTTGGGAGACCATTTCTAAAGTTGTTTTTTTCTTGGCAGAGTTTTTTAATTTTATCATGCTGACACGTGATGACATCTTTTAGGGAAGATATGGCAGTGAGTGGTTTTCTGAGTCAAAAATGAAGAGATTAGTCCAAACAAAACACCATCATGTGAATTAGATAAATTACGAATTTTAAATATTTGAAAGTTTTGTTATGTTTATTTTTTAAAATATTTTTTATTTAAAAATATATTAAAATAATATTTTTTATTTTAAAAAAATTAATTTGAATATTAGCATATTAAAATAATTTTAAAATATCAAAAAATATTAATTTTAAAAAAATACTTTTAAAATATAAAAACAAACAATCAAAGATGTTAAGTGTTAATATTATCATTTAAAATAGCATATTTAACCCGTATAAATTTTCAAAATTGCAGAGTTACATCTTGGTATTTGACCTGTATAAATTCTTAAAATTGCAAAGTTACATCTTCTACCTGAAAGTTCTTTCTAGAAAAAAAGAAAAGCTATGACTTATTTTATTAATTGATAATGAAGCTTTTAAGTGGGCTATTATGCTGTGATTAATCCTGCAACACTAAGGAAGCTTGTCGAGTAAAATTAATGTGTCTATGTAAGATTTTGGTTCATATTAAATTATATAAAGTTTTATTTAGTTGCTCCCTAACAAATTCACTTGAAGAGGGGAAAATATTTTTGCTATTTTATAATTGACTTGCACGTCCCAAATTAACCTACATTTCTCCTAATAGAATGGCTCTAGTGTTTGGTCAAGCCAAATGTCAATTCAGGAGTCAGTCGATGCCAGCACAAAAGATGTAAACATCATTAGACTCTTCGGAGAAAAACATTCAATAGCTAGTGGAAAAGGGCCGTCCATGTTAGCTATCAGACAACAATTTGATTCACTTTACCAGGAAAAAACAAGATCACTAATATAAAACCGCGTTCGTTCAGAATCCATTTCTATATCAAGTGTTGTTTAATTGTCAATCACGGGCACTGAATCCGGACTCTTTGTCTTTTTTTCTCATATGCTATGGAAATTCGCAGACAAAACCCTAACCTTTTTCATATGCTTTTACTTTTTCTGGCCCAAAGGATGGTGACACTTGAAGCATCAATCTATTCATTGGCAAGAGCACATTGTGATGATCACGTATACATCCACTAAATTTTGATTTGCCCTTTGAACATTTACATAGATAGTACTTTGAATGTCATTGCAGTATAAACTGATTGCCACTTTCAAGATAAAAGGCAACAAATTAGATTGCCATTTCAATTCCAAGAATACCAGATATTTGTTCTACAAGATAAAACAAAAGAAAAATGTAAAATCCAGTTAAAATGCCTACTATCTCCAAGTCGAAACTCTCCCTACGCAGTCGACATGGAAAAAGGGCAAGCGAAGTTTTTATGTCAATCACCAAGTAATTCAATGGAGAAGAAAATCTTGAGAGTTAGAAGGCTAGCCACAAATCATTGATGTTCAGAACAAATCAACTAGACCATTAGATGCATCACAGAGTAAAATTAATTGTATCGATCCAAAGCATCAAAACTAGCACCCTAAAATCTAAAAAAGATGACTATCTTAACAGCGTTGAGAGAGAAAAAAACTGTAATTTCCATCGAGGACTAACACGTTCTCAAACCTTCATCGATAGGTCGTTCAAAGGCAGACCTATTGCCTCCACTGAAACAGTTACTTTCTATGCTCTTCTCTGGCTAGTGGCTACAATCTTGAACTTCCCTGACTGTTGTTGCTGCATAAATAGGAAGAAAAACCATCAAAAACCATACAAATACGATACAGTCTTCCAATTAAAATCTTGAATTAAAAAGCAAGAGGAGCAACTTTCTTTACCTTATCCCATAATTCAGTGTGGCTTTTGCAGAAGCCAGCAACTATAGTCTCCTTCCTCTTCCCTTCTTTAAACTCGATACAAAGATCCTCGTTCAACCCACAAGTAACATGAAATGCCAGAGGACACTTAGGTTCAGAGCACTCAATAACACACCCTGTTCTACTCTTACAAACATAACATTTCCCTTCCCATCTCCTTTTAGGAACCTTGGAACAATTAATCCCTTCACGGCCATCTGGGTCGTCGAAGAACACCTCAGGAATCAAAAGTGCACACACAACATGAGCCCACGACCCATCAACACCCTTTGTTGTGGTGGGTTTCAAAGCACCACCTTTTGTTGGACAAAAGCAACAAGATAAGGAGGATTGCTTACTTTCTGACCTGTACGATTTAGAAGCCGAACACTGAATACAAAACCAATCACCATCAGGAACACCCTTTATTAAAGGATTCCCGTAGCAAGTAGTGTGAACCATTAAATCACACCCATCACAAAACACAATAGGATCTGTTGGATCCCCATCTGTGCTTCGACAAATAGAACACAAAATCCCATCATCCTCCTCCTCTTCTACTTCTTCTTCCTCCTCTTCCTCTTTGCACTCCTCTTGGTTGTTTTCATCAAGAACTGTGACTTTCTCCTCTTTTTTTAAATCTTCTTGTTCACTTTCAATTGACTTATCAGTAATAATATCAAGTGGGGTTTTCTTGTTTTCCTCGTTTGCTTTGATTTCTTCATTGAAAGAAGGGTTATACTCAACATTGAGATTGAAAGGCGAGAGTGGCTTACCGGATACCAAATCAGGATGCAATGCCCAAACCCTCTTCTTGGTTGGCAAACAATATGCAGCAGTGGTACTGACTTGGGGAGCAGCATCAGCAAGAAGTGGATTCCGGGACTCCTTTCGCTTCTTGGCCGGCAATTGCAAAGCGATGGGTACATTTTCTTTGTTTTCTTGCTGATGCTGTTGCAAGAGTCTGTGTCTTTTGAGAGGAGGTAAGGCTTGGAATTTGGTATCCATTGTTGTTACTGCGTGTGTTTATGGATTTTGCAGGTAGATAGAGATGGAGAGGAGAGGGCTTTACGTCTTGGTGGGGTTTTTTTCCTTTTGAATTATCAAGGTAAATTGATTGCGGGGGGGAGAGACGAGAACCCGGGAAGGGAAGTTTGTTGTGGCGGGAAGCTAAAATTGTAACCCCTCCATTTTTTTTGGTCCTATAATTTGAACGATGAAAATTTAGGTTTAGAACTTTACTAATAAAAAACTTTGAAGTCCGGCCCTCTGACTATGAGTAAGGTCTCGTTTAAGTCCTCCTACTTCTGGTAATTTTAAATGAATGAATGGTTCATCAATTTCTGGGGCTGGTGCCATTGCAATATACACATCTTTGATCGGCTGTTGAAGAGCAGATCTCTGTGAAAGAGAGAACCAAACTGCGTATCATACACCAAGCACTTCAAAGCAAGAGAAAACATAGAGGATGATTTAAAGGCAGCAAGGAAAGAATTTGGTGAAAAAACCAAGCAATTCCTGTACTTGTTTTCTAGATGTCATATATATATATATATATATTGATTTAAAGGCAGCAAGGAAAGAATTTGGTGAAAAAACCAAGCAATTCCTGTACTTGTTTTCTCGATGTCATATATATATATATATGCTTCCACGAAAGTGTGTTATAAGTTGTATTTTAAAGTTTTTTTTTTTAGAAATGCATTTGAAATAACTATTTTTAAAAAATTATTTTTAATATTAACACGTTAACACAATTTAAAAATATTAAAAAATTAATTTTAAATAAAAAATTCAAATATTCTGATTGTAATATCAAACACATATTTATTTACGTGTATGTAGGCTCTTGCTCCCCACATTCTTGATATTTTGAATACCAATTTATTTATTTTTTTATTAATAAATATAAATATTTAAATTCATTTAAACTAATTTTTTGAGATTGTAAAGTTAATAATCAAGTAAATCTCTAATAATCTTAGTGTTATAATATTTAGATTAGTATTATCCGAAGAATAAATCTAAGACTGCTATACCCTTTATAATTACCAACTTGTGCTGCTCTAAAAGGCCATAAAATTGATCATCCTGGCCTGCCCTGCCCTGCCCTTTCAGAACATCTTGCTGTTCTGTGAGCATTAGCAAGATCAATGTAGAAGAATTTCCAGCGCCTTCAAAATAGCAATTTGAAATTACGAAACCTAAATCCAATGCAAAATGCAAAATACTATAAAGAAACAAGGAAGCCCAGTGCAAAGTCCACTGCTTGAATCTTTGGTCTATCATAATTATACCGGAAATTAAAGCACCACAAGTTCCTAGCATCAACCACGAAAGTACGATATCCCACATTTCTGACATCAACAATGAAATGACGGCTTTTTCTTTTTTCTTTTTTATTTTTTATTTTTTCTTTTTCCATCATGTTACAATGCATTTTTTCGAGCTACGAGGAGTAAGAATACACTTTATATTGCCTGCACACATAATATATTTCATAATTAATTATTATACTATGCTTGCTTTATAAGTATGAGCTATTTTCTATGTAATAAGACATTTCTTATCTCTGTTAATTGAATATTTCTAGCCAAAATGTAATTCATATTCAATAATATCTTTACAAATCAATTTTTATACAATTTTCAAGATGAACCAATGTTTATAAATATATCCTGGATCAATAGATAAACAAAATAGATTATAATTTTTTTAACTTATAATTTCACTCTCATTTTTCTATATATTTTTTTAATTTCTCTTCTATATTTACTGATTTAATTATTAGAAATTCTCTTGTTTTATAAAAAGAAAAATATAATCAAGCCTTTATTCAAATCACCACGTCTTAACTCAAAATCTCAACTCTTGAAAAACCTAATTTATATTTAAAGTTTTTTCACTAAAATGGCATTTTATAACAAAAACTAAAATGCATTAGCTTTTTTACTGTAGCAAAAATATTGTTCACTCATTCACAATTCATTGTGGACTATAACGGTGTATTTTTTTGATAATTTTGATTTTGATTTTGATCTTTGAACTTTTATTTTACATGATTTGATTCTTTTGAGCTCAAACTAACCCTCGGTTATTGTTTTTTTTTTTAGAATGAATGATTGAATTGAAAGATAAGGGACTGAAGTAAAACTCTTGAGTAACTTAGGAGGCGGGTTGAAATTTCATTGAAATATTCATTTTAATTCTCCATATTTTTAAGATGTTAGGTGACTAATCTCTTCAATTTCAAGATAATATATTTTGATACCTAACTTTATTTTTCTCTTTTTTCAATCCTTTTTTGTTAGAGAGGGAGGGAGGGAGTCACCAGATTTTGGTCTAGAGAGAAAAAGTGGTCGTTGGGAAAGATTTCAATTACAAAAACAACTAATTTTTGTGTTAAAAAGGTTTCATATGATGAGAGAGGTTATGTTTATTATTTTCTTTTACCTTGAAAAAACCAAAAACAACATATCTGAGCTTGGAAATAATTTTTATTTCAGGTGGATTTTGGGTTTGAAGGTGGTTTGTTGGCTTTTTGATAGTCATGAATTGATTTAACAAGGTCTTTAAATTGTTTTCTACGTATATTGAGTAAAAAATAGGTTGAAATGAGATTTTGGATGAAAAAATAAAAGATCTTATTTTTTCGACCACCACAGTAGCCAGATTTTAGGTTTCCTAGGCGACATGTCATTTTTTTAACTATTTGAGGTGGACAATGTGTCATCATATCCATTAAACTTAAAAAAAATAAAATAAAAGCTCGTGCATAGGCCGTTGCTTTATTAGGCCAGGCATTAGGCCTAACTTACCAGGCCCAGCAACTCTTGGCTTGATTTTTTTAATTTTTAGTTTTTTAAAAAATAATACATTATTCGTAAATGTTTTTTCAAATAAATTTTTGGTTTATGTTTTAATGAGTATGTTTAATTTTTAGAGAGGTAAGTACAACTCATATGTGGTTTTTTCTTAATTTTATATAAATGAATTATTTTTTAATATTTATGTTTTTATAAGATTTTTTATATATGCAGCGTTGTATTATTTTTTTAAATTATTTTTCAATAAATTTTATATGTTATGTGTAGTCTTGCATTTTTTTTTAATTATTGTTCAATACATTTTATATGTATTAGTTTCTATTACAAATTTTATATGTTTTTATATTACAAATTTATTTTGATAAAAGAGTTTATTAAACATAATCAAGTAAATTACTTGTGCTATAATTTAGATATTTTGATCTTCATTTTTCATTTGGTTTTCTCAATTTTATTTTATTTTTATTGTTGATGAATTTTTTTTCATTACTTTACATAATGGTTATTGGGTTGTTTAATTAGATGCATGTATAAGTTTTTCAATTTACATCCAATATATATATAAAAGGAAACTATTTGACCAATATTTACCCAAAAAAATTTAAAGGCTTTACATACTCTTAAAATGTTTTCTCTTAGGGAGAATTTAATTTCTAAGACAAGAGTTTGAGGTATGTACCATAATTATTTTATACATTGAGTCCAGACATATAGATGGATATATAAAATGTTTTTACAAACACTTAACTAAGTTATTCAGGTCCTTGCAATAATAAGAAGTTGACAAGTATTTGTTACTCTATAGTTTATGAGACTTCACTTCTCATCCAAATGTTGGGCTTCTATACTCTTTTTGAGTTGCTTAAACAATGTTTATATTAGATTGATATCCCTTTTCATTTTATAATTTGATTCTTATACAAATTTAAGACAGTTTAAGTAATTTTTTTGCATATTACTTATTTGTTCTTGAAAACCAAATCATATACTTTTTTAATGCTATCAGCTTTTGAATGCATGCTTAAAAAACACCTTTTTTTTTTCTTCCAAATATCTCACCATTAAAAGCAACGCTTGTTTTTTAGAAGTAGGCCATGACAACTGATTAGTACTTAAAAGTGCATTTTTATCATGGTTTTATATCATTATTTTGCACTTGAAGTATCAATAATTCCTTAACCAAAGCATGATTTATAATAATATATCTAATAATATAAGATACCTATAATTTGTGGTAAATGTCTATTTTTAATGCAGGCCTATCACATAAATGAAAGGATTGATTGATGACTTGAAAAACTTAAATTGCAAGGATAAAGAGATGGCCAAACTTAGAAAAGAGATGTCGGTGCAATCCAAACCGGAACACTGTTCGGTAATTGGGTCATATCTAGAGCTATATATCTCAGATTTAGGTCCAATTTATATGGATGGAAAGATAAGACATAGGCCTACAACTTTTATATGGAGCCCAAGATCTAAAAAGGCCATTATCAAGTCCAAATTGTAGCAACAATAAAGAAGCCCGAATCTGTTTTCCAGCCCGAGCACTGTTCGGTATTTTGGCCATATCTAGAGTTCTAGAAGTCCAAATGAGCTGAATATTTTACACAAGAAAGCTTAGACAATGACGTTTTGGGCAGACAAGAGAAGATAAGGATTGTCACCAAGTCAAAAGTTGGCCACCCCACTTATCAATTAGTCATCAAATCAATAGTTCCCAATTTTGGCCTATAAAAGGAGGCATTTGCCATGAATTTAGGCATCTTGGTTTCCAGATCAAGATCATGCTCTTCCTTTCTCTCTTTGTATTTTTTGTAATGTTTATGTTTTGCTTTCATTAATATTAAGTTTATGCCTTTCATTTCCTTTCCTTTACTTAGTTAGCTTTTATGTTCTTATTTTGTTTATCTATTTTTCTTTCTTTCATTATGTCTAGCTAAGTTAATTATGTCAAGGTGAAAAGGTTACACTAATGGTGTAAGAATAAGTATAATGTAAACTTAATATGGACTTTAATGTTTGATACTAACATGTTTTATATTTGTTATCTTGTTCACTCTTTAATACTTTGCTTGTTAAATGACTAATCTTGATTTATGTTGTATAACACTTGGTACAACAAATGCTTGGCACTTTCATAGCCCATAATGTATGGTATAACCGACACCTGAGCTATGAAAGGAACTTGATTTGTTGTTAACATAAGTTATAATCATGAATGCTTGACGAGATTTACAAGTATTAGCATTAATTGAATAAGATGACTAATGTAATCATGTTAACAATATATAATCTGATTGGAACCTCCTTTGTGTGTGGTTTCCAATTCAATAATAAGAGTTTATACTATACTTGTTTGATATACCATTAGTGGAACCTCTAACCTTGACATTTGTTATTATTATTGCTTAATCCTTACATTAATATTTGATCTCCAAGTTCTCATCATCATCATCTTCTTCTTCTTCTCTTTCTTTATTATTATTATTATTATTATTATTATTATTATT